TAACTTCCAGGAAGGACATTCCTTGGATGAGGAAGTTGACACATACAGGTGTTTTATCACAAAGGGTACTGTCTTGGCACGCTCCAGCACATCGTTGGCATGCAGCTGGATTGTGGCAAGATTTTGACCCGTGACCATACTTTTGGCAATTATAACACCTCAATGGGTTGGGGATAAAAGTATCAACCCTTAAGTTGCAATATCCTGCTTTCAGAGATGTTGAATGCATCGAAAGACAAAATGTGAACAGGTAAGTGTTTGTCTTTTTACTGTAAAGCGTTTAACATGAGTAACGCCTTGCAATTGCAGTTCAGTCACGATGTCACTTTCACTCATGTCTGACAGGCAACGTCCAATATCACGGACGATGCCTTTGCTGGTATTTAATGTACTGTGAGGGGACACCTCCATAGGAACATTTGCTAAAGACTTTTGGACTGTATTTCTTTCCTGCATTCGATTAGCAGGGAACCAGATCTCAACTTTTTAATGTCTTTCACCTCCCCAGTCAAACCTTCAATGCCCTTTGACTCAGCAAAGGGATTTAACTTGAGAGGGCCACCTTCAGGGGCACACATCACACGGACACGAGGCCAATTATCAGGGTTATTGAAAGTTCCTTGCGCTTCATCATCTGAAGACAACGAATGATCAGATTCGTGTGATCGTTTTGTTAGTGGGGGTGCCATGGTAGAAAAAAATGTGATTCACCCTCCTAGCTCCCCACCCATCATGGAGTGTCAACAAGGACGATGCCTCATGTCTGTGGATCTCCAGCAGACGGCACCAAGAACACTAGGAGGGTATACTCAAGCAGAAATTATCTTGAAAAGATAAATCCCACCAGATTGGCCCATGAGCCACTGCCTTCTGGGCATTAAGACTCTAGGCAAAGGTCATGATAAACATATTACAAAATCAATTAGTGTAAATGAACAAAGGGTGCCAAGACCAAAACTTAAACAATTCCAAATCAAATTTTGTGCAATTACATATAATCAATGCACAGGGCCTGGCATGACCAGCCGATTGATTGAACCGGGCCCATTCAACCACTCGTCTAGGTGAAGTAAGGGCCGAAGTGGTGTGTTGGGCAAAGGAACGCTATTCCTGGAACCAGTGCCCTCAACCACCAGATTCCCATCCTCCACTGACACCGGGGCGCAACCTACGGCAAACAGGTTGCCCAATTCGCCCTAAGGCCAGCAGTGGGCTGCTGTGGACCAAATACACCCCCCGGGTCCATACGGGGGTTGAAGAGCGCTTAGCGTTACCCAGCACCCACCACGAGGAGATGGCTCTTCACGGGTGCCCGAGGTCAATCAGGCCAAGGTCAAAGGTCACATAGTAATGACTATTTGCTATGGAGAAATAGATTCACAAACTATTTATTGATTTTGATTCGACATGCATAAGACGTCGAATTCAGAGCACAACATGTCTCTAGTATTTTTCGAACAGATTCTATCGAGCGTAAATTGCCAAAACGGGATGGTAAGGATATGATTGGACCATTTATTTTATTTTATTTGGTTTACCAAATGATTTATTTGTAATTTGTTGTTGGTACAGTTAAAGCATGTCACCATTAAAACAACATCACACCAACAGCAACCAACAATCAAGAACTAACAGAAATGTACTCGGGCCACCCAAAATGGCTGCCCTATTCCTTTTAGGTAACCATGGTAAAAGAATGGCTGTCCTTTCATATTATGTAAGATCATTTAAAAAATGAAATTTGAATAATTCTAAGATTATTTTGTCTGAAAATTGAGCAATCAGCACAGAAGTTGTGACCATAACATTTGAAGAGTATTAGTCAATGTAGCTAATTACATGCCAATTCTCTCTAGCAATTTGACATGTACAAGAACAGGAATTCTCAGAGAGACAGCCACCGAAGGATCCAACTATTTAATATTCTGTGTGTGCCTGTTACTTTCAGTTAGTACTAAACGACATACAATGATTTTCCCCTGAAGTGAGGAACCCCAAAGAATTGCTATTTCAAAGTATCTTCAGGAACATCTTCCCACAACGCCCCAATCCTCGGAATTCAAAATAATTATTGGTCCCAGGAGGCATCACGTCAAGTGTACCGAGTACGACACTCAAGCCTTTTACATCAAGCTCTGTATCGTCTTCAGTAACACGTCATCAGATATTCAGCACAGCTGGCCATCAGTTTATTACATGTTTCTAATCAGCAATGAACTAAATCATTAGCAAGTATTGTGGCAAACAGCTGTATGGATACTACTTTCTTTGCTACTCTGTTCAAGCAAACTCCAGATTCATAGACAAGCCTGCTGGTCCGAGGCAAGTCAGACTTTCACAGATGAAGGGTAGTATAATTGCGTGAAAATGCACATAATAGTCAAATCAGAAAATATAGAATTATAGAAAAATTATAGAAAATATCATTCATAGAGTTTATTTTGTTAATTTCAACACCACTTTAAACAAAATTCAACAAATAATGTAACATGCCTGGAACAACGTGCTTCACATATTTCACCCACTGTGAGAATAAAGAGACAAGCAAACGTTGATACGACGGGCAAACGCCTTGACTTCTCGACTGCCCTACATATATATCATGAAAGTTTGACAACAGCTGTGAACGAAACTAGATGGAGATATTTCTGTTTGTCAATCATCAATAGTAACAGTCGAATTGATATTATCCACAAAACCTTTAAAAGGTATGGAAATGACTTGTTTTGAGTAAAAATGAATGATGAATGAATATCTGATAACAGGCACTCCTGCTAATGCACACTTAGCTTAGTCATGAATTACAGGACTCTAGACAATCAACATTTGATTACTCTGTGTACATAGATTTGTTTTAGTTATTATTTCATATTTCAAGTCATAATTATGCATGGCATTTTATTTTAAAAAGGGCTGTCTGAAAATATTGATAGTTTGAGATATTGTTGATGGGATTGTTATTTTTTTTTGCACTTTTTTATTCTCGGAAAATATACGTGTACAAATTGATAAAACGTGATCATGTGTTGAAGCACACATGGTCTGCCAGCTCAAGACAACACAAGCTGTGTATTACATCTCAAAATAGCACTGGACGAAATGGCATGCTTGAATATTTAAAGAAGAATTTCAAATGAACACATTTACGTCAATTTACACATCAAAACAGAAAAAGAAATGTGCTTTTTTTCCAGAGACGACACTTACAGCGCAACTGATCTAATGATTAATACATATCAACTCTACATGAATACCGAGTACATTCCAACAATTAGTCCTCCAATATTGATTCAAAGTATAGAAAGTATTTGTTGTCAAACTTCAAAACTTGTAAGTGATAAAAAATTTAGGTTGAGTTGTTTTTCATTGTTCATCGTGATAATAAAGAATCCACTTCATTATTAGTAACTTACGACGCAGATATGAGACGCGCTATTGCCCAGGGCCTCCTTTCACAAAGCACTAAGGTGATCGTAAGTGACTAAGGTAACCTTAGTGAAATGTTAAAGAATAGGAGTTAAGGTTAACCTTAGTAAAGGTTGCTTCGTGAAAGGAGCCCCTGTTCTGAACAATTTTACCTAACTCAAAACATGGTTGAAGAAAATCTATATAATTTGAAAACAGTGGTTTCATAGTTTGCTTACCTCTAATGTGTCATTGTGGCCACGGATGGACAGGTGATATGAAGTGATGTTGCTCACTGGTCTAAGGTATGGTAGCAGTTCAATGGACAAAGGTGTTTTGAGGTATGGGTAGCTCTGGGTTGTACAAAATGTTTAGCTCATGGGTCAAAGGTTCGAGTATCCCTTCTCCAAAGGAACGGTCTCACCTGGTGTAACTTAGTGGTCAGAGGTACTGGTAGCTCAGAGCTCTTTGGTTTAATGTGCGTTTAGCTCACTGGTATAACGTATCGGTACCTGTTGTCTAAGGTGCGGATTGTTTTCTGGTCGTTGCAGTATTTTGTCTTTTAGCGGCATATAGAAGTTTTATAGATGACCAAGATATTTATGGAATTAAGCTTCTTTATTCTTTCCACACAACGAAAGAATAAAGAAAATTAAATCCATTAAATATCTTGGTTGCAGTATTTGTCAATATACGGGTAGTTAAATGATCTAAGGCGTGGATACCACAGTGATCCAAGGTGCAGGTAGATTGGTAGTATAAGGAGTGGTTATCTCACTGGTATATGCTCCTGGTAGCACTGTGGACTGAGGTATTGGCAACACAGGTATCTAGTGTGTGGGTAAGTGAGTGATCTAATCTGAGGGTAGATTAGTGGTCACAGACGCCTAGGGTCAGTCATTTAAGGATGACATCTGGGCGTAGTGTTTGTGATTTAACAGTGCACTCAGAAATATTCGGGATACGTGATTGGGAGTTGGGATACTATGACGTGTGTCAACCAAGATTGCGAGCCTTTTGCCCTATCCAGTTGGTTCTCTCTGACAACGAGTGAGACCAAGGAATACCAAGGGACGAACTGCTGTTTTATTTATCAATAATAATACAAAGACGCAGGGAAGTTATGGCAACTAAATGCAACAATAAACAACACTTTTGTCAAAGTCAGACATGGCTGAAAGATTTATGTCACTAGGTTTATGTCCCATTATGCCGCAAACCAATCACGTGCAGTGTGACGTGAAGCCCCTTCGCTGATAGGAACACGTGACTCGTACTCTCTGCATATTCATGACAATCGTTGCAGTCGTCTCTGTTCTTCTGTTTGCCGTATACCTCGTTGTAGTCTCAAGACAGGTAGCTTGTACTGACTGTCTACCTGGTGGTAGCTTCCTGAGATAGGTGTTCTATTCTTGTGTTCACAGTGTATCAGGTGGTAGTCTGCAGACACAGCGTTCATAACCTTGTGTTCACTATCTACCTGGTGATAGCCTCCAGACATTGGTGAAATAGTCTTTGACCCTGACCGTGATCCTTGAACCTCGTGGTATAGTCGTGCAACATCTCACAGGCGGTGATCTCGATAGCTCTGGAACATGGCACCGAAGTATGTGAGTGACTGTGTGAAAATACTGCTGGGATTAACGGTTTTGCTGATGTTTGTGTTTTCAACATCCGGCACGAAGCAGTGTACACTTAAGACGATTGAGAGGGACGATTATGTCATCAGGAACGTTGGCATCAAGCTGTGTCAGCTTAAATGTGCTGAAAATGGTCAATGTTTGAGTATTGAATACAATGTTGAGACTTTAACCTGCCGTTTATCAAGAGCTGAATCAAAGAAGATCAAGAAGAAGGAAGGATATGTCATTCTTGCAAGGGATCATTCACATGTAAGTAAAAGTGTCCAAAAGCCTGTCCATAATGATAAGACATCTCTACTGAATTCCGACTCATCATCAGAAAGTGTTACTCAGTCAGTTTTACATTTATTCTTGAAGAGCTGAAAATCTGTTGTTAACCTAAAACTAAACGAAAATAAAAGGGGGTGGGAGGACTGTATCAAAACCAGAAAAGCTTGATTCATTCAAAAAAGAACTTGTTCGGAATGCTTTTACGAGGTTATCTGGCCAAAATAAATTCCTTTCTTTGCGTGTTTTGAAAAAGCACATGGTGACTGAACATTCACCTGTAACATCCGAACATCAGTTCTGGTTATTGCTACCCACATTTGGGTTCCGTTATCGAAAGAATTAGTGGGGAGAATAGACGTATTCTCAGAACAAGAGCCGACATTATTCACTTACGAAATAGCTACTTGCGAGCAATTAGACAAAAATGTATTGTGAAGTTTTCCAACCTGTTTTTCTGTATGAAACGTGGGTGAATGCCCGTCACACCGTAGGTACCCAATGGGTTGCCAGTACATCAACAGACACATGCACACGAAAACTCACACTTGGCAAGGGTGAGCTTTTGTTTGATTGTGTTGCATGCAGGATGTAAACGTAAGGGTGTTTTACCTGGTTGTTCGCTTGTATTTAAAGCAAAATCCAAAGTCAATCGTCACTGAGATGAACGGTGAGGTGTTTTAAGAATGGCGACAAAAACAGGTTGTTCCCAAAAGCTTAGTGGTCATGGACAATGCTTCGTAACACAGTGTACAGGACCCTGATACAAAAGCCTGGTGGTTATAGCATATGCTCGTCACAATGAAGACTTGGGGTCGATTCGCCACACAAATACATGGGTACAATGTGTGAAGCCCATTTCGAGTGTCCCCCGCCATGATATTACTGAAACATTTCTAAAAGCGGCGCAAAACAACACTCAATAACTTACTTCATGATGATGAAAATAGAAACATACGCTAGAAGTGTAACTCACGGTGCCCAGGGGGATGCATATTTCTATTTGAACTATTTTGCATGTTATCGTAAACAATTTCAATTATGTCTAAAGTTATTACAAATGTTGATGATTGAACTAGAACATAAATACAAAAACGATCAATGCAAAAATTATTATATTGATACATGAGGTTTAGAGGACAACATAACATAATTCTTCTTTCTCCTTTTCGAGGTCCCAACTGGTTCCTGTACATCCAATATGTGCACTTTCGGTCAACGGTGTTTGAAGACTCGATCTGGAAAAACTGTCTGTGTAGAAAGGTAATGGCGGGTGTATTTCATATTTTCTCTCTATACTCCTAGACGGTATTGGGCAGCTTTTGATCTATTATCTCTTTATTAAACATACGGGTGAGGAGATCCCATGTAATATCTTTTCGATATTTGCAGTGTGCAGTTCAGTGATTCTCGACGTTGATTGGTTGATCGTATATTTGTACATTTTCATTGGATGCTGAAACTACTTTCACACCACTATGTTCATCCGTAATATTTCATCGACTCATTGATGAATTGACGATGCTGGAATTGCACTGATTACAGAAGTTAAATAGAACAAAAAACAACACATAAAATCAAACAAACAACCCCACCACCCCCACCCCCCAAAAAGAAAAATCATACAGGATTTCGATTTCGAAGGTAATGCTTTATGTCATAACAATATGGCGTCTTATACTTAACAGCATGTTTTGTAATAAAAAAATGTCTGTTTCTTTTGTAAATAAAATGGCTACCAAGTTAACTCCAGTCAAAGTCAATGACCAGGTGAAGGTGACACGGAGACATTACTGGACGTGTAACGAGAATAATACAACTACTAAATTGCTTTCACGTGTATGTGATAAACACTTAATATGGTGAAATGGAAGTGACAAGGTATAGACTGAAAGTGTTGCCGGATACGATATCGAGCGAGTCACCATCTCGCTAAAGGTGTCACCATCTCGAGGGTGTCATAAATGACTTACTGCAAGATGTCTTTTTGACCCCCCAATCAAAATCAAAACTTTTGACAGGTTTGGTTCTGTATTTGACATTGGCAACCTCTTGGCTGCCAACGAAAACTGTTGTCCACTCGGACTTAATTTAGAGCCAAAACTAGGTCGCAGTTCGTTTCAGCAAAATTTTGACAAACGTTCATAATTGTGTACTGTCATCTTTAACAAATATAAAAGGTTCCCCATTTCTTCGTTTTATCGTTCACTTGCAGATTTTCACTGTTTTTTAAGTTAACTTTTAAAAAATTGACTGTTTTTTGCTGTTTTGTATCCAACAACCCTCACCCACATTCTGACACGAGTAGATCTAGGCTAGATCGATAAATTTGCAACCTACGAATAAGTATTGAATATGTGATTGTACTAAACGTAATCTTTACAAGAGGGTGTTGCTATCAAAATCTCCATCAAACGAACTGGGAAACTGTTTGGTTTCATTCGCGCATTAATACAGATCAGCTGATTTAGTTGTAAACGCTAGACCAAAGCTTAATCCCTGACTATATATAATTTTGATAGTAATAAATAAACAAATAAACGGTGAACATTAATTCACTCAGACCAAATTTCCTGTAATCACTCATACCTTGTGGATTATTCTCTACGTATGTATTTGACATTCTTTCTCACCATTTAAGATTTCCTGCTATGCTACAATTTTGTGCTCGATATCCACCTGCATCTGAGACACTAGCGTTAAGAAGCTGTGCTTTCAGCTGTAATTGCTAAAAAAAGGGAACTTGAAGGTGACGAAAGGGAGTAACCCTCATACGTCAGACAAACTAACTGGGGTTACAAGTCCACCTAACATCCGAGACCAACGCTAACTGAAGGGGGCTACAGGTCCACCTAACATCCGAGACCAACGCTAACTGATGGTGGTTACAAGTCCACTTAACATCCGAGACCAACGCTAACTGAAGGGGGTTCAGGTCCACTTAACATCCATGACCAACGCTAACTGAAAGGGGTTACAAGTCGACTTAACATCCGAGACAAACGCTAATTGCAGGGAGTTACAAGTCCACCTCACACCCGAGACCAACGCTAACTGAAGTGGGTTACAAGTCAACCTAACATCCGTGACCAACGCTTACTGCAGGGGGTTACAAGTCCACCTCACATCCGAGACCAACGCTAACTGAAGTGGGTTACAAGTCCACCTCACATCCGAGACCAACGCTAACTGCAGGGGCAAAAAAAGTTGTTATCCATAAAAGTGTCATGTATTCATCTTCGTCCAACTTCAAAATGCCTTTCAAAAACTTGGCAATAATGTCCAGCTAGTTCACGAAGTGACACGTGAGAAACTTAGTGGACAAAGGCACAGCGTTATATAAAGCGTTTTGGCTCTTTACCACGACAAAATGCTGTTCGAATACCAGGATGTATTTTAGGTTCATATGCACCATACACATGATCATGAGTTTGTTTATAGTAGTGACTAGTGCTGTTATTGGCATACAACCTGCGATATGATACATCACGATACTAAAATTTTAGTCACGACGATATATTGCCAAAGCATAAAGTATTGTGCACTGAAGCTGCGATACGATATGAATCTCGATACAAAGGTTGCGATAAGATGCGTATCATGATACTAAAATCTTTAATTCTAACACCAACTATAAAACACCTTAAGAAAACAAAACCATTTTAAAGTATTTCGTCAGATTCCGCCAGCGTTTTTCAATATTCAGTCGGAAATGAGATAATTAATTTTATACACGGACTTTGAGAATGTTAATAACATGTGAGCGCTACCTTCAACACAGTTCCAAACGCAAGAATTTCCTAGAAACTATGAAGATAAAAGAGGTATGCATATCGTTTAATCATCAAACAAAAGCAAGTCTTTCTTGACAGATATCGTGATTCGGCAATATTCAAAGTAAAACATCGATGTATCGTGGCCCATTTGAAGTATCGTATCGGGATATACGACAATGTAAAACTCGATTCACTGTATCGGCGGCCCATGGATCAATGCATCGAAGTGTATCGACGAATCGTCACACCACTAGTGACTGGTAGACTTTTTAATGCTCACTTTTTTTATCAAATATGTCCTTGGATTCAGGTGATGTTTGAGTAATGCTCACGTGCGCACATACAACATACACGTATACAGGGTAGCCTGAAAAAGGGGCAAGCCCTAAAACGTCGTTAAACACAATAAATAGATTGCCGCGATAATCTGAAGTTTAATCAGATGTTAAAAACTTTCAGACATCTTAAATTCCATTTAATAACAGGACACCAGAGAGCACAGATTTCAACTTAACACCACAGTGACATTCATTATTCGCGCTCCTGACACAATGGGAGGGATATTGATTAGAGAGAATAATAGACTTTGCATTGGAACCTCTGATTGCCAAGTAATGTGTTTATGGTTATATTTTAAATAATAGACACAAACGCAGGGAGTAAAATGTTGTGTTGATGTGCCACAAGGGCTTATTGTCAGAAACTCAACAGTTTACTCAACAAAACATCAATGCCGTTTTTTTAGCTTCAAGGCTCAATTCAAAAGAAATTACTACACCCACATTGCTTCCTGGCACATCATGCACAGGCGGTAATACAGTATATATTCTGTTACTACATTTCATAGCAGTAAATATCTAACGTATTACTATCATTGTATAATTATCATATATACAGGTGAAAAGCAAAACGAACCTGAGGAATCTCCACAACACGTCGACAAGCAGGAAACATTCGTCAACAGGCCACTTCACGAGGCCTGCAGGAAGGGGGACCTGAACCGTGTGAAACACATCCTGTCCCAGGATTTGGTCGACATCAACAGCAGAGACGAGAAGCAGGGAAGGACACCACTCATGGTGGCAGCACAGGAAGGACATTGCAGAATATTTAAATTTCTTATCAGAAGAGGGGCTAATATGTCAGAAGTGGATAATAACGGCACCAACGTCCTGCACTGGGCATGCAAGGGTGGACATGTGGATATGTTTGAGTGTGTGCTCCGGCAATACGGTATTTTGATGAATGTGCAAACGTCTCCTCTTATACAGGCTGCACTTAAAGGAAACAGGGACATTATTGAGTTTCTCGTGTCTACGGGAAGTAATGTGTCACAAGTTGATGACGCAAACAACACCGTCCTGCACTGGGCCTGCTTAGGCGGATACATGGCTGTGGTGAAGTATCTAGTTCCTCAAGGCAGTGTTGATATTAACAGTAGAAATAAAGACGGACTGACCCCTTTGATGACGACTGTAATAAAAGGTAAGGAAGACGTGTTTGACTTCCTCGTGAGGATGGGAGCTAATGCGTCACGTGTGGATGTTCATGGACGCAATATCCTTCATCTGGCCTCTTTAGGTGGACCTGTGGAGATGGTGAGGCATATCCTAGGGCAGAACCTGGTCGACATTAACGTCAGGGACAAAGATGGGAACACGGCAGCCATGACAGCAAAGCGTAAAAGCGCACATAACTCGTATAACCTTCTTGTTTCACGGGGTTGTCCAGTGAAATAAATGTAGCTTGTATGTTGATGTCACACACCATGATATGTTTGCGGTAATCAGTAGTAGATTGTCACAATTGTCTTTTACACATGTGCGGTGCAGTTTATGACAAGCAGGTAACAGACAGTGATAATTTCTGTCCAGAACAACTCCGAAACCGTTCAATATCTTTCAACTAAACGTGAAGGCAGTCTGCTTCTACTTCAGCTATTTTTGCTAGTTAAATTTCCTTTCTCCATGGAAGCAACTTAGGCCAAACAGAAACGGAGGTTGATACTACAGAGAGCTATTCTGTTTTCCTTCCTTAGAAGGCAAGAAGTTCAATTCTACTCCTATCAGCGAGTTTGACGAGACCATCACTCTAAAACTACACTCTCCCAAAAACAGAAACGCACATATTGATGTATGGAATTTATCATTGGAATTTTTTATTGTAATAATTTCACCATTATACTGGGGGTTGGGGTTGTTATATGGATCGAATGCACAACGCAAAGATGCATCTTTTGAAACTAAATGCACGTGTACGTTCTAAAGTCTCAACCTGTATCAAAATGTTATGGAGAAAAATGTGCTCACATTATGCATGTGCAGTTCTGGGGAAACCTGAGCAAGGACATTGCCCCTATACGGTATTTATAGCTAAATAAATATGGGATGACCGATATCAACTGTGATATATGGAATTTTAAATTTATCATTGAAATTTTTGATTGTTATAATTACGCCATTATACTGGGTGGTTGTACATGGAACGAATGTACAACGCAAAAATGCATCTTTGGAAACTTAATGCACGCATACGTTCGAAAGTTTCAACCGTGCATGAAATGTTACAGAGAAAATGTGGCTCGCTATATGCACGTGTAGTTCTGAGGACACCTGAGCAGGAAACATTGCCCATGTAAGGCATGTTTGCTTTTAGACGTTTTAGACGTTTTAGACGTTTTTAGGCAGTTTACAGCTTAATGAAAGAATATCGTCATAGCTTTAAATCGATTTATGCTACCGATATCAACAAACCAATATTATGCAAGTTCGTATTCCAAGCGATAGATCTCGAATTATCACTGCAGCGCAGGATAGGCACATACCGGTATTTCATTTGCGGAATCGAGCTGTCCCAGAAACTGCAAATGCAAGGGCAGTGACTAATATGAGGAGAGTGTTGGCGCAAAACATTCGTAATCGTTTACGAGAAGCTGGACTTTGAGCAAAAAGACCGTATTTTGGCCCTATGACGGGTCCAGATGTGCAATAACGTTCAATTCTGGAATATGTAAAACATGTGATGTGTATGGTTCAGTGGCGAATCACGCTCTCTGCTTCAGTGCCTTAACGGAAGAGTATGTGTCTACCGACGTCTAAATGAACGTCTCGCCCAGAATTGTGTCGCCCAGGTTGACCAATATGGTGGTTGGAGTGTCATGATGTGGGGAGCCATATCCTACAGTAAAAAATCTTTCTCTGTGCGCCTTCAGTCCAATCTAACTGCTTTTCAGTATAGAGACGAAATCTTAAGGATTAACATGGTTTTGATCATTGACTGCCAGAGGGAGTTGTTCCAGCAAGATAAAACCAAACCGCACTCAGCACATGCCACTATCCAGTATCTTCAGAATGAGAACATTACAGTGCAAAGTATTACATAAAAAATTCACAAAAATAAAAATGAAGAAATTCCCCCATACTGAGCCATGTCACACAACTACAGACCCTTCCTTTCCGGGAACAAACAGCGAAACAAAAATCCAAAGCGACTTTTTTCTCATGTTACACGAAATGCACGTGCATATTGACGGTAAAACACACCATACGAGACACGTGAGCTGCACAGAAGTAAAAGAACACAAAGAATATGCAACGTTTGAGGCAAATCGAAAGAGAGAGAGCGCCGTCGGAATGGCCCAGCGAGGAGCTAACCACAACGTCATTGCCAGAACCTTCAGCTGCACCCGAGCAACTGTCATCAGACTGATGCAACGACTAGGACAAACAGGCAATACGTCAGACAAGCCTAGGAGTTTGACAATGCCCGGTGATGATCGCCACATCCTGACAATTCATCTGAGAAATCGTTTTGTGACGGCGACGTCAACGGAGGTGACGGTACTAGGACACCACATCAGTCGACATACAGTGTACCGGCGATTATGAGAACATGGTATTCGAGCGCGTCGACCCTACCACTTAGTGCATCTGACTCTTTAAAACCGACGTTGTCGATTGACATGGGCCAGGCGAGTTCCACGTTGGCAGTTGCGACGCGTGCTGTTCTACGACAAGAGAAGGTTTTGCCTGTACAGTAGTGACGGCTGGGTCCGTGTTTACAGACGAGTAGGTTTAGCAACGAATTGCGTTCAGCAAGTCCAACCGTTTTGAGCCGTTGCGTGATGATGTGGGGGAGGAATCTGCGGCGATCTCAAAACGAGACTTCATGGCAACCTGAGTGCGCGAAGATTCTTCAGGGATGACATTTTGCGACTGGTTGCGTTGCCATTTATCCAGCAACAACCACGTAGCATTGTCTACCAACACGATAGCGCATGGCATCATACAGCAAAACTGACAAACGGCTTTCTGCACAACGCTAACATCGTTTTGCCCTGGCCAGCATGTTCTCTCAACATGAATATGATAGAACACTCATATGACTTCCTGGAACGACAAATGAGAAGACTACCAGCCCCACCTGTCACCGCTCAACAACTGGACTTTCGTTTGAACACTGATTTATTTGGCTGCAACTTATCCAGAATTAAGTGTTATTTCACTATACAGTTTAGAGAAAACAATCGTGGAAATACACCTATGTGTTTCTCTTTTCGGAGGGTATAGTAGGTATTTTTTCAGCAATCAAGGCACAAAAATGAATAGGCTTTCAACTGGTGCCGTTATCTTTTATGTTTAGACTAAGACGTTGTTTTGTGCATGTGAATAATACCACGCACTTTATGTCAAACAGGTAACAGATATTGTTTATCTCATGTAATGTTAGTCTCAGTCGATGTTTTGTGCAGTTGGGATATCTTTCGGTTTTCGTAGCAAGTTTGTGTTCTTATTATATTTTAGTCTTTGTTTTGTGGCTGTTAAGAAGGGTTAGTGCCTGATATGATGAGCAATGTAACACACGTTGATGTACACGTGTTACGAACATTGTGTGTTATTGCCGTTCAGTGACACGACTGAACGATATGGTGCGGTTTAAGTGGAGAATATTACATTCATTGATATTTGAGTCTCAGTCGTTGTTTCATACAATGAGTGACGGGTATCGTGCCTTGTAGGATGAATAGGTAACATACATTGTTGATTAATATGTTAGTCTCAGTCGTTGTTTCATACAACGAGTGGTAGATATCGTGTCTTGTATGACTAATAGGTAACAGCCATTGATGATTATTGTAATGTTACTCTTATTTGTTGTTTTGTGCAATGGGTGGCGGGTATCGTGCCTTGTATGACTAATAGGTAACAGCCATTGATGATTATTGTAATGTTACTCTTATTTATTCTTTTGCAATGGGTGGCGTGGTATCGTGCCTTGTATGGTTGTAATGTTACTCTTATTTATTCTTTTGTGCACTGGGTGGCGGGTATCGTGCCTTGTATGACTAATAGGTAACAGCCATTGATGATTATTGTAATGTTACTCTTATTTGTTGTTTTGTGCACTGGGTGGCGGGTATCGTGCCTTGTATGACTAATAGGTAACAGCCATTGATGATTATTGTAATGTTACTCTTATTTATGCTTTTTGTTTGGCGGGTATCGTGCCTCGTGCAAATAGGTAACAGCCATTGATGATTATTGTAATGTGGCGGGCGGGTATCGTGCCTTGTATGACTAATAGGTAACAGCCATTGATGATTATTGTAATGTTACTCTTATTTGTTGTTTTGTGCACTGGGTGGCGGGTATCGTGCCCCGTATGACGATTTGGTAACAGACATTGATGCTTGCTTGTTATGTAGGTCTAAGTCGTTGTGTTACAAGGAGGAAAGGATACAGTGTCTCACCTTGTATTGTGAGACTGTTTGGAGAACATCACCGATACCTATGGTTTCTGTGAGCATGTAATATACATATTTGTTTCTTGTATGTTCAATAAAGCATTATGAAATGGGTTTTAGATAAATTTGTCTTTTCATGTAGTGTGTGGCTCACGGAAAGAGACTCAGAGTGAGTGAGTGAAATCATTTTTAACGTCACATCGGCAATATTTCAGCCATATATGTTGTATCTGTTGTATATCTGTTATATTTCAGCCTCTCTTTGGAACAATTTAGATTATATATATTTGGGGGGCGTGGCTAAGGGAGCGACATATCGATTGGTTTTCGATTATAATTTCACCCTATCACAGGCATTCGACCACGTGACGTCACGAAAAGATGCTGTGCCGTCACGGTCGGTTCATTGCTCTTTTGGATGGCGTGAGTCTTTGTCTCTGATAGCGTCCTTAACCGTTCGAAAAAAAGCGATACAATCCCGAGCCGCGATTGGTTTTCGTTCATAATTCCACCAAAGGAGCACCATTGACGTTCGTAGCGTCGGTACACCATCGTGATAAGCGTTGTCAACGTTTGAAACGTCGTCTGTCATTCGCACGATATTAAAAAGTCCGTCAAAGTAAGAAGCGAAGTAACTGAGTCTCAGCATGGATATAACAGTGTACCTTATCGGATATATCACTACCTTTGGGTTCTATACCAAGCGGTTGGACGAGTGTTTACTTACTTACTTAATCCTCTTCGTGCTCTTAGCACATAAGGCCGTTACTACAGTTTTCCAATGCTGTTTATCCTGGGCCCATTGCTGTACCTGTCCCCTGGTCAACCCTGCGACCTCCATCTCTGTTTCCACAGATCTTCTCCATGTCTCCTTTGGACGTCCTATGTTTCTTTTTCCTGTTGGTGTCCATCGCATAGCAACCCTTGGCATAGAATCTGGGTGCATCCTACAGACATGACCGATCTAACGCCATTTTCTCTTCTGGATCTCGAGGG